GAGCCTTGTGATCTAAGAGCTCAACAGGGCCTCCCTTTGCAAGTTTATAAGGGGTTTAGTGAGAAGTGCAGTGCTGGGAACTCACAGGTGAAAGTATCTTATTATGCTGAGGAAGGACAAGAGCTGTTGCTTGGTGGTTGGTGTTGGGTCCTGGGAACTCAAGCTCACATGGTATGGAGATATGGTTAGGGCATGTTTATGGAGAATGATGCCCAAATATGTGATGGACAGGGAAGAGATTTGGGCTTTAGAGGAAGCAACACAATACCCTTCACAAAATAAATGTTGCAGTAGTAAGAGGGTGTTCTTATGGAATAAATCATCGGAGCAGCTACAGAGAAGGAGGTCATCTCTATACTGTAGAAAGTGAGAGGACAGGAATGAAAGGAAAACAAACCATACAAGGACCCCCAAGTAGTAGGGGCTGTTTCAGAAGCTCTGAGGCAAGACAGTCCATCTCAACTGCTGGGACTGGCAAGTGTCTGGTTCTGTCCAGGTGAAGGTGAATATCTCTGTAAGGAGGGGCGCAAGTGAATAATAAAAAATGCATGTTTTAAATCCAAGACAGAGCAACAAATGGTAGTTTGGGGGATAGAAGATAAGAGGATATCGGTGTTTGGCACCACAGGTTTATAGGAAACACAATCTGATTGATAGTACAGATTGTGTAGCTTTATCATTAATTCTGCTAGTGTGTCACATTGACTGACTAGTGTGAGTTGAAACATTCTTGCATTTCAAGGATGTCACTTACTCAAGGTGAATACTACTTTTCATATGCTTTTGAATTCAAATTGTGAGTATTTTGTTTATAATTTTTGTATTCTGACTTCTTCCAAAGTTATTGGCCTGTAATTCTTTTCTTCTAATGTCCTTGTGCAACTTTAGCATCAAGGTAATTCTAGCCTTATAAAATGAATTTGGGAATAACCTCTCATTTAACTTTTGAAGCATTTGAGAAGAACTAATATTAGTTCTTTACGTGTCTGATATGATTCACAAGTGAAACCATGGGATATTTTTATTTAAATGTTTTTGAGTACTGATTCAGCCTTCACACTAACTACTGATCTATACATACTTTCCATTTATTTAGAATAATGTGTTTCATATTCCTAGAAATGTAGCAGTTTATTCTGCTATACAATTTGTTGCTGAATAAATGTCCATTGTCATCTCTTATGGTTCTTTGTCTTTCTGTGAAATCAGTTATAATGTCTTCTCTTATATTTCTAACTTGATTGATTTGAATTTTATTTTTCTGATTTTGCCTGAAGGCTAAAAGTTACTATTTTTATTTCAAAAAGCAATGATTGAATTTGTTCATCTTTTCTGATGTTTTTATAGCTACTATAGTATTTTTGATTGGCAGGAGTTTTCCTCTAGCATTTTGAATGTATCATTCCAATCTACTTTGTCTTGTAAGATTTTTGCTGGGAAATATGGTAGACTTAATGAAATCTTGTGTATGTAAAATGCTTCTTTTTCTCATGATGGTTCAAGATTCTCTTCATTTTTTCATTGTAACAACTTGATTATATCTTAACACAGTCTTGTTTTAATTTAATCTTATTGGAAATCTTTGGTTTATTTGTACCTAGATATTTAAAATACTCAAATTTAAGGAGTTTAATATATTATGTATTTAAATGTCTTTCTGTCCATTTCTCTTTTATCTTCCCAGGACCCAGAGAGGTACAACACCAGCTGCTTATTTAACACCTAGAATTTTTATATTGGTTCTTTTGATGCTATCCTGTAAATCTCATAGTCTCTCTTCATTTAGTCTCTATATATTTTCATTTTTTCCTGTTACTGTGTATTTTCATATAACCACCTTTAAGTTCATACATTCTATTTTACACCTGATCAATCTGATACTCTGTATTTCATTCTTTATTTAATTCACTGTATTCTTTAGCTCCAAAATTTCATTATTAAATGATTCCAACTCTATTAAACTTCTAATTAGGTTAATTTGTTTTTCCTGATAGTATTAAATTGTTTCTTTATACATTTCTAAAACTTTCTTGACCTTCATAAATTGATGGTATTGAATTCTTTATTTGGCAGATTGTGAATGCCAGTTTCTTTGGGGTCAGATGCAATGGAATTCTTTTTTTCCTTGGATGGTGATATTTCTCCTTGGTATTTTGAGTCCCTTGTTGTCTTGCATTGCTGTCTGTGAATTTGGTAGAGCAGTAAGCTTTGAGGCTTGTTTTGTAGGGAAAGCTCTTCCGCATGGAGAGTCAAGCACAGGGCCCAGCAGGGTGGTGAGCAGCATGATCTGACTCTGCTGAGGACACAGCAGTGTAGACTCTCTGCATCCCTGTATTTGAGACAAGTGCTGACAAAGCTGCAGGAATCACTTCCATCCTTGTTCTGAGCTGTCTCCTGGCATCATGCTAAGCTCCTCATTGATCTTTCCTGTGTAGACATTCTTCCATGGCTTTTGCTTTTTACCACATTGATGTAAATTCTTAAATGAGTCCTGGAGTCCTCCCAGGGCTACTTTGGTTTCTTTTTTAAAGTTTGTGGTACATTTAAGACATACATAGTGATCATATTCATCACAGGAAATTCGTACCAGTAAATGATAAATATTGAATCCTCCTTTTTCCCCAGTCTCTTCTCCTCCCTTCAACCCTGCTTTGCCTTCCCATTTACAAAGCTTTGTTTGCTTTCTGGGTTTTTGCTCATTTTTGTTTTATGTTTGGAGGTGGTGGCAGGCAATGAGGGCTGGCATCTCTTACTCAGCAGCCCTGGTTAAGAGGGGTTGTTATTTTTTATTGTAAAATTTTCAACAATATATAAAACATTAAGGAATCTGGAATTTTAAATGGAGAAGAACACACATACAAAATTAACCATTTAAAAGTAAATAATTCCATAGAGTTTAGTACATTCAAAATCATGCAATCACCACCTGTATCTAGTTCTTTATTTATTATCCCAAAGGAAACCTTTAACCACTCAGGTTCTCCCCCTCCCCTTATCACAATTTAATTATTTTATAAACCTTTAATTCTGTCATAGGTTTATAAAATAATTAAAACCAATTTTAAAGCATATATATCTACACACATGTTCATAGTAGTACCATTCACAACAGCCAAAAGTGGACAATACCCAAAGGTCACTACAAAGCAAAGCTCTTGCCCCTTGAGTGCTTTCCCCCCAATTCCCACCACAATCCTTTCCTAATCCAGAAAAATTAACCATGAATATCCAAGGAAATATGTGAGCACAGAAGTACTATTCACAGTACCCCAAGATGGAAACTGCTCAAAAGTCCATCAATAGAGTCACGGGCAAACGAACGATAGTATATCTGAGGTATATCAAATTGTGGAAACTAGATCTATGAATAACAATCTAGAATCAAATACTTTTAAACTAAGTATCTTTACGTATTGTATACTTCCATTTATTTCAAGTTAGATTACCAATATTGGACTTCAGTTGTTTTCAAACTTTAGACACACACAAGTAAAAACAATGACCACTCAATTTACTGGTTGTTTTGGAAAAATCACTACCAGTGTAATTTTATGGGGAAGGAAAATCTCCTTAATGTGAGGAAAAAGAAACAAACCTACCAAACGTTGCACGGAAAACCTAACATAAATACAGTATAGACAAGAATGTGTGTTCTGTTTGTTGAGCTGTCTATTCTTCAAATGCTTTCATATTATGCTCCCAAAATCTTCATAAGAAAGTCTTTTATAGCCACGTTTGCTGGTACACACCTATGATGCCAGCACTCGAGAAGATGGGCAGGAGGGTTTGCTGAGTTCGAGGCCAACTTGAACTGTACACTGAAACTCTGTCTCAAAAGAGATGAGAGAGAGAGAGAGTGAGAGAGAGAGAGAGAGAGAGAGAGAGAGAGAGACAGAGACAGAGACAGAGAGACAGAGACAGAGAGAGAGAGACAGAGACAGAGTCTTTTATAATCCCTACAACCAAAGACCAATATAATGAAAGCAAAGTATAATCATTATCATTACTCACCTATGCCAAACAAGCTCTAGCACCAGAGCTTTCTCTAAAGCTCCTCATTTCCTGTCAAAATCATACTAAGTTATAATTGCAACTTGACTCTCATATTAAATCAATACCTCCCATTGAGCATGTTCCCGTTGTACTTTTCAAGTCAGGTTAGTATCAAGAGTGTCATTTCACTTTAGTACTGAAAGGAACATCACGGAGTGATCACACCCAAACCCCTCGCTCCACTAATGAAGAGATTTTCTGATAGACCCCTTTGGAGAGAATTTATAGTCACAATAAGCCCTCTTTCCACCTCTGCTTGACTTTCTGCAATGTAAACTTACTGTAGGAAGAAAACCACGTTCACAACTTGATTTCTTATTTCAAAACTCAGGCTTCCTTCCCTGGGTGCTTTGTCTTCTGTTACTGAGTTCAGTTTGACAGAGCAATGACCAAGGGAAATTTCAGTTTCAATAAGAAAATTTATAAGCTTTCATCACTATATGAAACAGATCTGTTATATAAAATAATCGTATGATTTAAGTCACATACTGATTAAAGTTATGTTTACCTAAGTCTCTATCAAAATTCAATCTACTGACCATGTTACAGCTGTTCTTGAATCAGTTTGACAGGCTTCATGCTTCTGAATTTCCCAGGGCCTCCATGTACTCAGCAGTACAGTAGGTACTTGTATCACAATTTCGCAGATCAGAGATTAAAAATATCAAGCAAGATCAGTACAGGAAGCTCTTTTCTAAAATATACCGACTTATACTAACATTACTGATGAAAACAAAATTCAAGAGTGAATATTTGACCCAATATTAAGAAGATTATTGAACATTCAGAGAGAACTACTAGATAAATTAGGCACAATTCAAAGACAACTCAAGGAGAACCTGAAAAAACAGACATATTTTTTCAACTTATATAGACAGCTTCAAAAATTCTAAGGCATTGGATTCAGTGGAGGGGAAGACACATTCCTCCATTAGAATGTTGTGATTTTATTTCTGCAATTTCACCCTGGACAGAGCGTCCCTCAGTGCCTGGTGCACCTGCTTGTTGCGCAGGGTGTAGATGACAGGGTTCAGCAGCGGGGTCACCACTGTGTTCACCAGAGCAGCCTCTCTGTTGGAGTCCAGACTGATCATTTGCTTTGGCCTCAGGTAGATAAATACACAGCTACTGTACATCAGACAGAGAACAGCGAGGTGAGAGGAGCAGGTGGAGAAGGCTTTCTTCCGCTCCTTGGCTGATGGCAGGTGTACAATCGTGACCACTATGTTGCTGTAAGCTATGACAGTTACAAAGAGGGAAGCAAACAGGATAAAGAAAGCAAAGATAAAGAACAACATTTCAGTAGCTCTGGTTTTATAACAGGAGAGCTTTGCCAAGGGTCCAAAGTCACAGAAGAAGTGAGGGATGACACTGGGGCCACAGAAGGACAGCTGGGACAGCTTTATCACTGGAATAACCATAAGCAGAAATCCCAAAGAGAAACAGGCAGTGACCAGCAGGATACACGTCCTTGGGCTCATGATGGTGGGGTAGTGCAGAGGTTTGCAGATGGCCAGGTAGCGATCCAGGGACATCACAGCCATCAGAAAAAAAATAGTTGCACCCAGAAAAAGGAAAGCAAATGCTTGTGTGAAGCAGGCAGCAAAGGAAATTGTTTGTCTTCCAGACAGAAAGATGGTCAGGAGTTTTGGGATAACCGTGGAGATGAAACCACATTCACCGAAGGAGAAAATGCTGAGGAAGAAGTACATAGGGGTGTGGAGGCGGCGGTCAGCCCAGATGATGGTGAAGATGAGCGAGTTCCCTGTGACAGAGGCCAGGTAGGCCAGCAGGTGCAGCAGGAAGAGGACCTTCCCCAGGTGCTGGACTGCAGGGAAGCCCTCCAGGGTGAACTCCTGGACAGCTGTGCTGTTCCCCGCCCCCACCATCACTACCTTTTCCATTTCTTCAGTCTGTTGCCATTGAACCATGTGAAAGGTTCCCGGCTGGAGAATACAGAACTTTGTTTTTATTAAAGTGTAAAATAATCTCAGCATTACATTTGGACCTGCTTATCATTTTAAAAAAGTCTTTTGATATGTCACTTTTGTCCATTGTTGTGAAAAAATGTGATTTTTTTGGTCTAAAACTATTATTTAATAGCCTAAAATAGTGAATAAACAAGTACTGTGCATGTAGTTACCCATCTTCATAAAGGATCATGTAATTTTATCATTATTGGTCATTTTCCAATATAATACTGCCATACTGGAAAAAAGTGCTGGTCTGAGGTATTGTAGAAATATAATTATGATTGAAAAATAAACAAATAGACACAACAGGGATTGTAGCTTTGTGGTATGCACTTTTCAAGCATGCATGAGGCCCTTTTTTAATACCCATCACTTCACACACACACACACACACACACACACACACACACACACATGTGCACACACGGTGTGGTGTTTTGGCATCCCATATAAGAATTCTTTCACTATGTATTAACATTTCCCCATAGTTTTTGCTGTAAAATTATTAGTAGGAAAATTTTCTGTAAATTTTCTCACTAATCCCTCTGAAGAGACTTAGATTAGGAGAGTAATACACCAAGGCTAACTGGATAGCTGGACAATTACGGCAGGCCACTGAGACCCAGAGCCTGACCCAAGTCAGGCAATGAGGCATGTTCTCCCGTACTAAGTGCTCTTTCAGGTACAGATTCTACTTTCAGACCCTAAACTCATAGGATTTAGGATGCCTTCCAGGGATCAGAGAGAAGGACTCATAGCTTACCTCCAACAATTGATTTCCAACTCATTTTCTCTTTTTTTGGTATACCTACATAGAATAAACATTCTCCATTTCCCTTTAAATCATACGTGAGACTTTGGTCCTCTAGTGTATGTCTCAGATCACTGACTGAGCTGATACACTGAGCCAAAGCAAATTCTCCCACTCTTTTTGTGTGACAGACCAGCTCAAAGAAGGAAAGACTACTTCAATTAACAATAATTAGCTGCAAAATATTCACACCAGAAATAAATGGCAGCATGTTCCATTCACTCTAAGTCCACCACTCACCTACAAGCAGCTCACAGTAGCCAGAAATCTAGCTTCTACACTTTCACGCTTCTGGAAAACCAAGATGATGGGTCAAGCAGCTGAAACATAAGTAGATAAACACATTTGAAATGACCTCCATCATCCCAGTGAAAATTTCAATGCATGTCACATCTGCTAATCCTTTTTCTTCAATGTACCCACTTTCCATGTGTAAAATAAGCCAAAGTCACATCTCAGTGGAAATCCCATCTGGTGAAGTATTGGAAAAGAAAGCAGGGTACGAACATCCGCCTGGCTCTGTCAGAACTGAAGGTGTGCTCACCTGCAATCCCAAGCAACTCTGCCACCCTTGCTGTGTCCGCAGATCTCCCAGATCCCACCTTGTTCCTGCACGAGACTACTTGTATTTGCTCACAAGGACTGTGGGCCAGAACAAGGAGCATGTACTACTCACAGGAACTGATCTCTTATAGTCAATATGCCTCCAAAATGCCTTCTACGGTGCCGGGTTAGCCATTCCGACAACCCTCCAGATAGGGGTGAACACTCCCCCACCTGAAGGACAAATAAAGTAACAGGAATTTGCCAACATGTGTTTACACTCCACAGTCTCTTGACACCAATCATGATCTACCAGGACCAGGGAGCAGCAACAGGACACACCCGCCATCATTAGGAAAAAGAGAAGAAATCCACCTGGAAACCTTTGTCCCTCTACATCCCTAATGGCAGCTAACAGAGCTCAGTTGGAAATAGAAAATAATATTATTAATAATAACAATAAATAGTCATTATTTGGAATCATAATTCCTCTTTCATTATGAATGGAAATACAACAATACGCATTCACAAATGTTTGAGTTGTCTGGATGAAAATCTTGAAAGTGAAGTGCGTACAATCCTCCAGGGGTTTGTAAGGCACCATGGTGATTTATGCTGCTCAAGTAGGATTGAGAGGTCAGGTTGGCCTAGATTGCACCTAGTGACAATGAGGTGGAGCTCCCCTTACTCTGTCAATGTCAAAGATATCAGGTAAAACACAAAGTTTAAATCAGAGGCAGAGTCTCACATCATAGAACCAAAATGTCCAGTTTCAGCTGAAAGTCACTTGTCCCACCAAGCACTAGGAAGTTCTCAACTTGAAGTTTAAAACGCAATCAACAGACATGAACATCAAGATGACAAGGATAGGGGTTGGGGATTTCGCTCAGCAGCATAAGCGCCTGCCTTGCAAGCGCGTGGTCGTGAGTTCGATCCCTACTCCAAAAAAAAAAAAAAAAAAAAAGATTGACAAGGATACTGGATAATAGATGACAGTAGATGACAGGGGCCATACATGCATGACTGTCCCATCAGGAAGACTATCTCATGCCACCAGATGGGAGTCATGCATGCACTACTGGTGGTTCAAGTCAGTGGGAAAGTGTTAAAACAACCATCATAAAAATGCTTCATTGAGCTACAAACACATTAAAAGAAATGTTTTTAATTTTGCAAAACTTTAATGGAGGAAAAAAAGAATATATCAGGAAGTTTTCAGCCAGCCCCATCATGCCCCAATGTAGCAGCTCCAGTGCAACTGACACTGTTTCTGTACACAGTCTTGAGGAATGGAAGCGGGTGGGCAGGACCATCGTTTTGTTTAAAAGGATTCGGGGCAAACAACAGCTGAAGAACAGTGCCAGGTGGCTTCACTGACAGTTTCTGGCGGGAGAAGACAAGAGCCAGGCATTCACAGAGGACTGCTGGCAGTGGGGAAGTAGACTAAGGGGAGCTCTGCTGCCAGCTGGGAGCTGGGATCATCACGACTCCTCTCCTGGAGAAACCTTGGCCCAGTGGTGTAAGCAGGCAAGCAGCCGTGGCCTGCAGCGAGGCCAGGGCACTCGTAAATAAAGGTAAATACAGCAAGTGGAGTGAAACAGGAAGTTTGCAAGGCCTGCAAGGAGCCAGCGATACTTGGGTCTGGGAGCAACCGAGGCTCTCCCTGCCAGAGGGGACCATACCCACTGAGAGGGTGCCATAGAGGTAAGCACAATAAGGACATATGCATGTCCAAAAGCTGAAGACCAGTCCCAGCCTACACACCCAGAGACCAAGATCAGCCCCATACTCAGCACAGACCCCACAGCAAAGTTGGCAGGTGACACAGCACATTTTGGGGATCTGACTTGGACACTACTGCAGAACTGTGAACACCAGAGTTATTTTACTATTTTTCTTTGTTTGAATAGTTTTTAATTTTCAGTCTGTTTGAGATGGTTTTTTGCTTGTTTGTTTTTATTACTATTTACATTTTTACCTTGGCTTTTGTTTTGTTTTATTCATCTTCTTGATCCCTTACCTAAGTTATATTGATTTTATGATACTTTCATGTGAGTGAACACAATCTCTTTTCTTTCTGGTTTGCTCCAATATTCTTTTGCTTTCTCTTTCATTTTTTCTCTCCTGTATTTTCAAGTTTCCCAAAACTTGGGTGATCATTCTTTGGCTCACGGCCTCACTTTTACTATTTTTCTTCTGATTTGTCTCTCGATGGGTTCCCTATCTCTCTTAAATATCACCCCACAACAAGATAAAATTAATCTACCAAGGGAAAATTCATTGCATACAAGTTCCTGGTATATAGTGGATTTGTTATATGACAGTAGAGCTTGCTCCCGTGGTTTAAGGCACCAAATTAAGAATTACCGCGTGTCAGTTGCTAGGCTGTACTTGATGTTATTCTTATTGCTAATTATACTATTGTGGTGAATTAAAAACTGATGGTCAACTTAAACATCAGGTGAACTGAATCAGCATGGTGCTGAGTGTGGATAGCCCATCTGAGGACTGTTGTCTACATAAAAAGGAGATCTGGAGAGGAAGAGTTAGCATTGTAGATTCACCTAAGTGTTGTTTGAAGCTGTTGATTCTCCTGGAGGAGCTTGTCATGCTGGCTCCCCTGATATGAACTCAGCTGTTATCATTGGAGGAGCTCAGGACCTTGTCACTGAGAATGGCTGTGATTTACTTTTGGGGAGCCCTGGTCCTTATTTGAGCATCACCTCCTGGCTCTGAAAGGGAAGATGTGTGCTGTTCAAACTCCAGGAGAAGCTTATTACACCCAGTTCCTGATATGTACTTGGCTGTTCTCATGTCGGAGGAGCTATGGATCTCATTGTCACCGAGGCTCTGGTACTCTTTGGAGGAGCCCTGAGCCTTATTTTGAGCATCACTTCTTTGCTCCACTGCAGAACCCTCAGCCTGATGGCACAGATCCATCATCCCACTTTGGAACAGACTTTCTAGCTTCTACCACTGACCTCTGGGCCCTCCCAGTGAAGATTCATGAAATAGACTTGCTTGAGTCATTGTATGGCCTCTAGGCCTCCAGTTGGATATGTGAGAGGCATTGTTATGGGCTCTAGGTCTTCAGCTAAACTCAGGCAGGTTATTGCCATGGCACCCAGGCCCTTGGCCCTGGGATGGACAGATTTCCTGTACTTCTTGTAATTAGCTCTTTGGGTAACCATGATAAATAATACTATAAATTATGTGTCCTGTATGTAATCATTTTCCTTGCAATCCCTTGACTACAACAACTACTTTGCCTAGGAGGTCTCTCCTGTTGTAATCAGTTTTTCTGCCTCATATGACAACATTGTGATTGTCTGGGGAAATAACTATCACCATAGGCCAATACCAAAAGACAGGGTACTGAGCTAAATAGCAACCTCTTATCCATAATAAATTGTGAAGACAGATCTTAGAATAGATACAAAGATAAAGAACCATCTATACCTAGAAGACACCTCTGATGAATAGACATTCCTTGAGAAGTCTCAATGTTAGTCATAAAGCTATCTACCTTAAGAAATCTACAAGCACAAACATGGAAAATAAAACAAAATAAAAACAG